AAATTTTAACCATCTGGAATTGAGTTTGCTTCAAAAAGTAATGATTTTTTGGATAAAACAAACACGGAAAGACAAAGCATATTTATTGACTTCCTGTCTTTCAGTGGTGGGTGATATTCCACAGATTATTTACAGTTTAGACTACATGGACTGTCTTTGTTGTTGTTTCACTAACATCACTGTTTTGCATCCTGCAGCACACCTGATCAGGATTCCTTACCTTCTGCTGAGAGTTTAGGTCCTGGCTCAGCCCCCACTGCAGCTCAGCAGCAGAGAGTACCTGTTCATAAGCCCTTCACCCAGTCCCGGCTACCACCGGACATCCCCATGCACCCTGCCCCACGCCACATCACTGAAGAAGAGCTGAGGTTGCTTGAGGGTTGCTTACATCGCTGGAGGAGTGAGGTAGCAAATGACACCAGAGGTAATCCTTTAGCAGGACTCTCCTGTCACCCACTGTCTTTGAACGATTACAAAAGAGAAGAAAGATCTGCATGAACAATATGTGATGTGCTTTCTAACAGATCTGCAAGACAGTATAACAAGAATCCACAGAACTATTGATTTAATGTACTCAGATAAATCTATGATGCAGGTGGGCACTGGTTACGAAAGCACTCATCCTCATGTTCTCCATTAATGTTGCTGCATTTTTAATTTCTTTTGTATTTTTGCAGGTTCCTTACCGACTGCATGCAGTCCTGGTCCACGAGGGCCAGGCCAGTGCAGGTCACTATTGGGCGTATATCTACGACCCCCATCAGTGCTGCTGGATGAAGTACAATGATATCTCCGTCACCAAATCATCCTGGGAGGAGCTGGTCAGAGATTCTTTTGGGGGCTACCGCAACGCCAGTGCCTACTGCCTGATGTACATTAATGACAAGAAGCCATTTCTCATTGAAGGTGACAATCAGCTGGTTTCCAGTCAGTGCTGCTGTTCATGCACATCTTTGTAATCACTAATACAACTGTTTCTCAGACAAGCTGCAATACTAATAAATAATAAAACCAGACTGTAACTGATGTGCAACAGTTAGATTTAAAAAGCTAACAGAAGGTATCGCTCAGAGAGCAAATACTCAAGACAGTTTAGTTTTTAAATCAAACTCTGACAAATTTATCTTCAGGAAAAATGCTCAGGAGTTCTTGACTAATATCTATGAAGGTGTTTCTTGTGCAAACGTCCTCCTGGAGAGAGCTGCTTTTGTTTTGTAATATGAGCACACGGTGCGATACAGTGACTTGATGAAAGAAATGATAAAACCATGGTCTAACCTTTATGGCAATTTTGGGGAAGGTAGTGCTTGCAAACACTTCCTGGTAGGCTTCAAACAAACTAGCCGCCCACAGTTACACAAGCACCACGGCAAAAAATGCATTTAATAAAAATCCTGATGCATCTCAGTAATCCAGGTAAAAAAATCAAAAAGAAAAAAAATTGTATAGGTCTTCTGGACGGGTTCTTCTCTAATGAAACGTTTCGTCTCTCCTCCAAGAGACTTCTTCAGTCTGAGAGTTTCAGGCAAAATTCAGGCTTTTTTTTCACAGACAGGACTCCATGCAACCTTCAGGTGAAAATGAAGACCCCAAACCCAGACC